GGGGTTTAAATACAGGTGACAACAGGTGAGCTGCATGAGGGCTGATTGTGGTGACTCAGCTGAGTGGCGTGGTTACATGAGCAGATTGAGGTGCAGGTTGACAGGAGCTGAGATGAAACAAACAGGAACAGGAACTATCGAAGGCAGAGCAGAAAACGTGACATTAACTTATTATTTGTATATGAAAGTTTCTGTTAACTTATTTTTATATTTGATTTTTTCTGTTCAGTGCCCTGAGACAACTTCTGTTGTGACTTGGCATTATATAAATAAACTGAATTGAATTGAATTGAATTGACATGTCTTCTTTTTAACCCCGCCTCTAAAAGAATCGGAATCGGGAATCGATAGGAACCGGATTTGAAACCAAGAATCAGAATCAAAATCGTTGTAATTCAAACAATGCCTAACCCTAAAGAGGAACTCTGGAGTTAGAGTATTAAATATGGAGCCGCTAGAGATAAAACAAAGAGAAAGAGACCCCAGAAGAGGTTCAAGAGAAGAAGGAAGTAGTGAATGAAGATATGCAGACAGTGTGACAAAGTAAGATGCTTAGATAGCATGAGATTGACAATTGGTCCATTGTAGAGATTACTAAAAAGAACAGCAGTAAATAAGAACATTTGGAGTTTATCAAAAAACATATCTGAGACTCTGCAAACATTGAAGAAGGTACTGTGGTCAGACTGGACTAAATATAAAGAACATCACCATGTCTGAGACAAACCGACTACTTCTCATCATGCAGAGAACACCATCTGTGTACTGTGAAGCATAGTAGTGGCAGCATCATGCTGTGGGCATATTTTTCTTCAGCAGGGACTGTAAAGCTGGTCAGAGTTAAAAGAACAGTGGATAAAGACAAATACAGAGAAATATTTGAGAGAGACTTGTTGGAGTCTTCCAGAGATTTGACAGTACATGGGTTCCACCATCTAGCAGGACCATTCCAGTCACAACCTAGATCTCAGTAGAATGGAGATTTTTTTGGTTTGGTTTAAAGATAGTTGTACACAAACAACAACATCAAACCTGAAGTATATGCAGCAATTTGGTTATAAAGAATGGCCTAAAAGACCAGGGTAGATGGATCTGATGGTCACTTCCTTATGGGAATGGACTTTAAGACAATCACTGCTGCATAAAGTGGCTTA